TTTTTTTTAATGTTATGAAATGGTTCTTGTTCAGACAAGCATTATCAATAAAAATTAAAATGATTAGATATAAAATGAGGAGCCGCAGCTTTTATTTTTACGATAGCAACAATTCTATAATACTTTTCGGTAAAGTTTCATGCAAAATGTCTGTACAACGTATACACAATAAATTTAATACAATTGCATAATAGAGAAGTGATTTATTTTAGTTTTCTCGTATAAGTCTTAAAAACACATTCGATAAATCTTTATAATTTTTGGATAACTACGAGGTCAAACTTTTTAGAATGTAATGGTTTTTAATGATCTTACGATAGAACCATTTAATTTTCGGACATAATTACACGAGTGTAGGATTATAACTTCTATGATATTTTATCTATTTTTAGGTTCTTATTAATCTGATTTTTGATCTAATGCATAATATATGTTATAACTTTGATCTATATTTTAGTGCTCATGCCTAATATTTAAATATGTTAATATAATTTATTTGATTGACTCTTTATCATAAAATTATAGCATTTACTTTTTATTAATTGTATATAAAAAATAATAAATATGCGTTAATGTATTGGACATTATTATTTTAAGTGGGTTATTTGTCAGTACACCTATCTATTTATGTTGCAAGCGTTATTTAAATTCTTATAATGTAATATTCGAACGACCGTCATAACTCATAATAATACCTATGTAATACATATTTTATATAAATTATAAATATAAACATAAACATAAAAATTCCATGTGTGTAAAATTTGTACATTTTGATAGTAATTATTCTAAAAAATAACATACATTAATGTAATTGCGAATCATTGTCAATTATTGTCATATACATAGGCACCTAAACCGTTTCAATTTTAATTATTCAAATTACTCAACTTATATCTGCAGAAACAAGCGTAAAAAATTATACTTTAAAATATTAAAAACGAATAGTTATTATACCGACGATGACGAACTCAACATAATATATTATAATATGAAAACAAAAATATTACGTTTTGTGTATTATTTTGAATGAAGTAATTCGAAAAGGAAGGAGAATGAAAATTGTTTTTTATTCTTTTGTTCTAAATTACACACACACACACACACACACACTTACATAATCCGTAGGTATCTACCCACATTAACACGTTATAATATGCGTAAGTTTTAATATCTATTACGTGCATGTATGTGTGTATAGTTGCGATGTTAGTGTATTATTCTGCGTGTGTGGTTATATATTATAGGTTATTTTACTTGTGGATAATATCTGATGGCTGTTGTAACATGCTATTTATACTTTTCTCAATATTTTATTTTATACGTTGAGTAACTTTAGCTTAACGTAGGTCACAATAATTCTATACTCGTTAATAGTGTACCTATAGCTTGAAAATATTTATATCAATAGGCACAATGATAAGATAAGTTATATGAACATAAATATTTATTAATTAATATATTATAATAACCTGTTAAGTGCATATTTTTACAAGTTTATAATAATTCCTTTCGCAAAATGTACTTGACTCAGTTTTTACCTGAACTTAATAAAACTAGTTTGCATAAAATAGGTATATTATATTAGTTACACATTTTAGGTTTAATATCTTGTTTACGTTGCTATTACACATTTATAATGGTAGGTATAAAATTTTAACTTATAATTAAAAAATATACATATATATTAATATATATATATTTTGTAATTATAAGTTAAAATTGTATATGCATTATGATAGCCGATAGGTATTATATTCAATATAAATGACATTAATAAACTATTGTAAATATATTAGCAGACACAATTAGTTACTTTTATTATTTAATTAATATTGTACGGTTTATGGCAAAGATTTTAAATTGTATATTACTATATTAGAAACTAAAAATTAAATAGGTATAGGTAATATTATTATAATTGTTATTTTACTGTGTAGAGTGAAGAATAATAGACACAAGCAGGGTGTAGTAGTACTATGGGAAACAATGGGAGTCACATTACATCGGCAGTTTACTATTAAAAACAACAGGAGGTTAACTACTGACGAATGAACAAAATACGTATTTTTTTCATGCGCTTATATAATTTCTAATTAAAATTGATGATAATAAAATCGTTCGTAATATTTAACATAAATTCTTCATAAAACTACACAAAACAAGTAATACATACCTACATATAACTCGGTGGATTAGAAAGTCATGAAATAACTTTAATATTTTTAATGCATTAATAATAGATGATATCCTTAATCAGCAATAAACGTGAATAGGTATCTAGGTATTTATTTATGATCAGAAGTTCAGAACACCACAATAATACAATACAGTTGCGGCATTGTTGTTATGAGTTGCGTATTCGTATTATGTCTTATTAGTAGCTATACCTAATAATAAACATTAAAATAGGTTATAATATTGTTATAATATTATCTATCCTTTTAGATTCTGAGCGGAGCGATGAATGTATTGGTTTACAATGATGTATGTTTTTTAGATTCTGAGCGGAGCGATGAATGTAGTATTGGTTTTACAATGATGTATGTTTTTATATTTTTATTTATATTTTTATTTATATTTTTGTGTCTGTCATCACGTTTTGGGACAGTAAAAGTGCTTCGATTTTCTTCAATAGTACCTTTTCTGATAGGAAAGTGAATCTAGTTGGTACTTTGGGGGGTCAAAAGTAAACATTTTCCAGTAGTTTTCACAAGTGCCGGGAAAAAACAACATAAAATTAAGGAAAAACGGGAATTTTTACGCAAAATCGATTTTCCAAAAAATCGAATTTGGTTTTTGGTGTAACTTTAAAACAAATGACCGTAGATACTTGAAATTTTCACTGGTTGTTTATATTTGCATTTTCTATACACGATAACATTTTCAAAATATTTTGATTTATTTTGAACTGTTTAGGGACATTTTCATTTTTCATTTTTTTTTAGTTTTTTTTCTAGAAATATCAATAAAATTTTATTTGTTGGTTGCGAAAGCTTGAAAATTTAATAGAAGGCTCCTAATATGTTGTTTCAAAGGCAGATGAAAAATATTAAAAATCCTTAGTCACAATTTTTTTTATAAGCATTTAAAGTTCAAAAATTTACAAAATATGGAAAAATCACGAAAATTAGCAAATTATTTTGAGTTAAGAATTCGTAAAAATTTTTCTTTTTAAATCTAAGATTTGAAAATGAAACACAAGATTCCTTATAAGATTATCTACCTTTATCAATAAAAAAATCTCTACCGGACAGTCAAATTAAATTTTTATGAGCGTTTGAAATTCAAATTTTTACAACATTGGATTTTCACTCGATTACTCATGTAGCGATTTCCTTATTTTGTTGCAATTCAAAAACGAACAACTGTAGATACATGAAAATTTCACTGAATGTTTAAATTAGCATTTTCTATACACCATACAATTTTGAAAATATTTTGACTCTTTTTGAGCTGTTTATGGACATTTACAGCTTTCAATTTTTTTTAGTTTTTTTTTCTATAAATATCAATAAAATTTTATCTGTTGGGCCAAAAAGTGTAAAAATTTAATACAAGGCTCCTGATATACTGTTACAATAGCAGTTGAAAAATATTAAAAATACATAGGCACAGTTTTTTTTTATAAGCATTTAAAGATCAAATTTTGACAAAATTTATCAAAATCTCGAAAATTATCAATCATTGCAATTAATAAATTATAAAATGTTCAATTTTTATAGCTAAGGATTACAAATTCAACACAAAGGTTCTCATAAATAGTTCATACTATAACCAAAAAATCTAAAAAATATATGAACACACTTATTTTTTACAGTCATTTTAAATTCAAATTTGGACGAAATTACATATTAAAAAACCTAGAATAACTATTTTAGTAATTTTGTTGGATTGAATAATATTATTCGTGGGTACTTGAAACTTCTAAAGTGTACTATTATATATCTATGATAGTATCATGTTTTTTGTTGATGTATAACGCGTTACCAGTGCCTAATGGATATTGTGATATGATTAATTTGGAATTTATTATAGGTACCTATTATAGGTCAATTTTTTGTTTAATACCATAGATATGTATATAATATGTCTTATACATAGACTGACATACCGTCTCCGCTCAGAATCGTTTTTCTTATACAATGATATTATATCGTTGAATTCAAATTTAATATCATCCATTATACAGTGACCCACTTGTAACCTACTGTACAGCAGAGCGACACCCACTTGCCCACCTTTTTTATAATTATTTTTACTTTTGATAAATTTATAAATAGAATCTTAAATAAAATCTTATTATTATCCCATATCGTATTGTAATTTTTTTTTATGTGGCGATTTAGATAATACATCAAATTCAGATGAATCTATTAGTTACCTATATTCGTTGGCACACGGAACAAGACAGTATAGGTATATTATACGTAGGTAATATATACTACAGCTGCCACCGGCAATTTTCAAAACCGTTACTATCCAAGTCTTTTTTCGTAGCGTATTCTATTTAGGTATGTCTTTGCGTTTATGCAAGCCATGCATGTGGCAATCAAGAAGATGTACACTATACATAGACAAAACGACTTTCTATTAAACGAAATAAGTGATTTTTTTCTATTTTAACAAACCATTAAACGTATAAGTATAGGCCGAAAGTTTCACGATGATTGTTATTATAGGGTGGCGGTGATACCACCTTCCAATATACACGATGACCCCACTTTTGACGAAATTACTCAATGAAAACAAATTCACCATTACGATGATACATGTAGTTATATTTATGAAATAATAATAACATGGAATTATTATTATGAAATCAAATCGAGCGTATATATGAGTGGGGGGAGACCCAGAACAAGCATCCGACCGGATCGTTAACTTTCTCCCTACATCGGCTGTGCGCGATTCTTTGAATATATTCAGAATTCCGTACACGAGCCACAGTGAACCTAGCTCTGTAAACAAAACGTATTCTCTCGGATAACCTATACTCGATGACGAACTTTGTGGATTTTAATCAGGTTGGTGTTAAATATTTTATTTCTTACAATAAATATAGTACACACATATTTGGAAGAACTTATAGCTTGCTAGAGTAACGTTCTGCTTAACATAAATATATATATAAATAAACTTATATAAGAAGAAATGATGGAATTTCTAACAAAATATATTTTATTTCAACAGAATTTTCAAACTCTAAATATATTTATACGTTTTATTATAATTTTTATTATAATATAATATGTTATATGCATGGTGTATACTAAATAATAATTTCCCGACAGTCATTTTTTGTGCACCTATTATTATTTACCCTCAGAGAATACATACATTGGCATTACGATATTTATGTATAGGAAAAATGGGTATAACATGGGAATAATTTATTTTTCTTCGGTTTTCCGTTATTTCATAATAACAGCATCTCAGTTTTCAGCAAAACATTTCTTTTTTTCGTATACATTCAATAACGCTTTGTGTTATGTGTTCGAGAGCGAGCAAGTGCGATTAAAACTTGAGAGGAATGAAATAAGATTTCTCGCCTTAGGCATTTTAATATTGATAAAATGTATGATATAAAATATAAAGCTTCAAATAAAAAAAATTAATTAAAATATATTATGTCTATGCTCTATAGTCTATAAGAAGAATAGTAATAATAATGATCATTTCATATTTTTTAAATTATTTGTTAATACCAGCTTACACATCGTTGAACAAAAATAATATATTTCTATTAAATCTCAAAAATGTATTCAACTCTAATTGTCATAAAGTAAAGTACATTTTGATTAACTTATATAAAACTTATATATTAGTCAACATATATTGTTTGTCATACGACCAAAGTGTTTTGTCTTCTTCTATTTAATTTAAATTTAAAGCGAAATAATTGTATACATTGAGATAATTATTTCGCAATCTCTAAATACGGTTTTTTGGTAGTACAGAGGATTGATTTCATGAAGCAACTTTTAAAAATTTAAAACACACGGTTCTTTAGGTACTATTTCTATTTTTGGAAGTCGTTAATAGTTGTAATCAGAAAATGGTGAAAACGAAATTAGCACCTAGCTGTGTAATAAATTATAAGTAAACCAGTTTGTACTATGATTAGTCAAATTTGATTAATGAGTCTTAACTTGGCTAAGTAGATTTCACTACAAAACACTAACTATTACCAAATTTTTATACATAAATAAATCTTTTGTCAAAACAAAAAGTTTAATTGTAATAATATATGTTATACAGTAATTGAGTACTATAATATTATTTCATTTATTATTACTATACACATTTTATTAACTTGAAACAAACATCACGTACGTAATATTATGTGAGTTAACCGGTGTGAATAGGTTATTTGATTAAAATTAATTTGAAAAAGTTGAAAATGTCAATGTCAAGTAAATAATAATCACCATGATGGCTAAAAGTTTCGAGTTCCTAAACTTAACATTTTTCGAATAACAACATAATAATTAAAGCGGGCAAGTGAGCTAACCACTTTCATGTATACAGACATACGGTAGATGTATAGTATACCATGGTAACCAAAAAATTATTTTATCGATAATATTGAAATATTTAAAAAAAAGTTCATATTTGTTTTTTGGGGTTTCTCGATTATTTTAAAAAGTACTGGGACATATTATCTAATTCTGATCCCCTCAAGTAGAAATTAAATCCATTTAATACCAAATACCCTCTAGAAGTTGATGATTAGATCATTTTTCTGATAAAAAAGTTACTTCAGTCATAAAAAACTACATTTTTGTTAAACCAATTCATTCATTTCTCCACTCAAAAACTTATATAGTAGGTACCTGTTACCTCCTATAATATACTTAAAATATTTTAATTGATTTTGCGGAATTACAGAATATAATAAACTAATTTTTTAAGTATAAACTATAGAGTTACCTACCTTACTATAAATTCATCTAAGGTTAAATTTAAATTAATTCGTGATTTATTAAGTCAAGATAATAAAAACCACCTCTTTGAGTTGGTAACATAAAATTAACTTTTTGATTTAACTTTAACTCGTTTATGTCAAGTTCAATGTAATAATTATTTAGGAAAATAAAATGTTTACCGTATTATTTATTTTAGAATTGCATAGAGTTGAAAGTATTTTCCAATTTTCTAGTATGCTAAAGTCTAACAATTTAACTTTTAAGAATAAACGTTATAGATACGTAGATTTTTGAAACATTTTACAATTTTAGAAGACTTGGATACTTCAATACAAGTTTAAAAGTTTCTAATATTATGTTTTAAAATAAAATTGTAGAGGAATTTAAAGTTTAAAACGGCACTAAAATGTATTAATTTAATCTCGAAAATATTAAAATCATAATAACAATACGATATAGGTATCAGGTATCTACTGAAATACCATATACAATATACAATATAATTTAAAATAAATTAACCACACAACTTTGGTAAATCTATCGACGATATAATAGTTTTCGGAGTTAATCGAATGTATTGTACAACTACAACTACTATCCAGTAGTCGGTGTTATAATCGACTTGTCGAGTCATATAAAATGAAACGGAAGAAAACCAAGCGAATGAAAACAAGTTCCTCCTTCTTTGCCCAGGTACCTACTTGCTTTACGTGATAAAAATAACGATGTTGTAGCACGTTGTGGGTTTTTGCTCACGAGCAACAGTTTGAAAATAATCAGCAGCATCCGTTGGGATGGGGCGAAAGCTTAATGGGTCGAGCGGATCCCTTAGAGCCAATGTACCGGAAGACATTGTTCTTGACCGAATTACGAGTACGTAATGGGCTTTGGATAAGACGGAGACTTTCGATCCCCAGCGGGTTTTTGCACGTATTATAGTATTATTATATTATTATATATAGTGTTCGGTGAACGTTGTTAAGGTATGCGCATTATTATTGTTTTATTGTAAGTTTTCACACCTACTATGCGTGTGTATAGGTACCTACTTACCGTCTTACTACTTATATTGTAACTATAAGGTGATTATTTTAGATGTCATCACGCTCATAATAATACATCAAAAGTCATGAACGTTTTTGAAAATATTATATGTTTTTCACGTCATTGCAAGACAACATTTTTAAAACATAATTTAAAAACTTAACTTTGTTTTTCGTTATCATTTTTTAAGGTTTTAAATTTTGTAATGATGGCATACATTTTTACTTTCATATTTCAAAGCAGAATATTTATCCTTCTGCAATAGTACAATAAATTCCACTCAACATACTTACAACTTACTATCATTAATAGATTTTCATATAGGTAGATATATTGAAATTCTTAGAAAAATATTCCGCTTTAGAATATAAAATTAAAAATCATGGTGCATTGAAAAAATTAAAAAATTAAAAATTATAATTAAAAAAAAGTGGGTAAGTTCAACAGGGTGGGGTATTTCAGCAGTGTTGGAAGTTTATCCATCGCCCCTTCGGTTCTCTGATTGAGTCTGTTATTAGTTATTACAGTATTCTAATTGAATGCAATGATTACATTCGAAAAAAAACTATTCTGAGCGGCGGATCAGTGTAACAATTAGTAATTTTATGTAGTAATATATATTTATATTATATAGATATAAATATGTTTCATAAATAATACAATTTTTTTGAAATTAGATTCATAAATCAAGGTTCTGTTCAATAGTTTGGTATTTTAACATTTTGATTAATTAAAGTAATTGTTATTATTATTATACTCCTTATGGTAGGGATGTTGTGTACAGGATAAATAAATTTTCTATAATTTAACTAGAAGGAATAGATAATTTTTAAATTTTATTCGTTTCTATGGTGATAATTGATAAACAGAGTGTTAGAAAAAAAATATATTAGAAAAATAAATTTTAGATTTTTCCAGTGGCGTTAAAAAACTATTGAGAAAATCGAAAAATGACCTCTCTAAAGTACCATCTTGATACAATTTGCTAAAAGATAAGATACTATATTATGTTGAAATCTAGTAGAAATTTTATTATAGGTTTTAAAAAAAATTAAACATCATTGTAAAACCACTTAAATTAATTACTCCGCTCAGAGTCTAAAAATAGATAGTAAAGTTTAAAATTAATGTTTATTTTCAAAAACGTGGTTTTTGATTAATTTCGAATTTTGTAGAACAAAAACGTTTAATACTTTTCGAGAAAATTAGTGTTTACCTCTAATATAATCACCTTGTATAATAATAAAGCCTGACGTTATTGGTATTGATGTTAAATATTTTTAATACTTGTTGGTTATTACGTCGTTTATCCTATATTGAGTTTTTGTTTGAATTTTTTTAAAAAATAATATTTTGAATGATACAATACAAGTTGGAGTTCACTTTAAGTGTTCTAGAAAACAATTTATTATGGCTCACTGAAATAGTCTTTCAATTATTTGATATATTCATACGAGAGTTTTATAAATTCAATTTGAATCAGATATAATTTGTTCTATACATTTTTATTTTTTTTTTTTTGAAAGATATTTTTAACATTACAAAGTTTTATATTCTGAGTGGAACGATGAATGTATTGATCTTACAATGATGTGTGTGTTTTTTTTTATTTTTTTATTTTTAATTTATTTTTGTGTCTGTCATCAGGGTTTGGGGCAGTAAAACTTCTTCGATTTTCTTCAAGGGTATCTTTTTCGATGGGAAAGTGAATCTAGTTGGTGCATTCGGGAGGTCAAATTTTAAATTACCAATAGTTTTCACGAGCACCGGGAAAAACAACATAAAAATTAAGGAAAAACGGGAAGTTTTACTCAAAATCGGTTTTCCAAAAAATCGATTTTGGTTTTTGGTGTAACTCTAAAACAAATGAACGTTTATACATGAAATTTTCGCTGGTTGTTTATATTTGCATTTTCTATACACTATCATATTTTCAAAATATTATGATTTGTTTGAACTGTTTAGGAACATTTTGATTTTCCATTTTTTTTTTTCGTTTTTTTTCTAAAAATATCAATAAAATTTTATTTGTTGGTTCAAAAAGTTTGAAAACT